GTCCAAACACAAAGTTCAACGTTTTACAAAATTGTATTATGCAAATGTCCATATACAAAATCATCATTTTTTATCTTACGTACATACCAATAATAAGTTGTATATAAGTAGTTTACAAATTAAATAATACAAACTTATTATTAAAAAAGCATAACACATACAGTATGTAAAATTTAGAGAATGATGTAAATTATAAATGAAAATTATTTATTTTTATATACTCATCCTGCACAAAGCTCATGTTTTTACCTAATATAAATGATTATCACCAGAGATAAATTTGAAAAAAAAAGTGATAGTCAACTAAACAAAGTTGATGTTTTTTTGACATCAGAAAACAACTTACTTTTTACATCACAAAACTCTTTTAGAAACGCCATATGGTCTTCAACCTCTTGGGAAATCCCTTCCACCTTACGAGATGATCACCAACGCATTGCCTAGCGAATCAGCTACATTTTCAGAACATAATCCTTACCTCAAAAAAATTCAGTTAAGCCATATCTTCAGCTCAAGAAGTGAGAAAGAGCTCAACCCATCACCAGCAGGTCCCATGTTAACCACCGCGGATCATCTCCCATCCTATCGTAAGCATTGCATGCAGTCTTATGCAACACGGATGCATCTTAGACATTGAAATCATCATTGGTGGGACTTGTCTGGTTATTCACCAACCCTCCTCTTCAAAGATCACTTGTGACTCACTCTTCTAGATGTTGTAGATTCGCCAGATCTTTACCGGTGGGAGAAGCCTTGTTACAAGCCATCTTCCTCAACTTCACTCATAATAATATGTTCAGATCCGTAAGTGCTAATCAGAGCTATAGATCGGAAATGAAGACTATCTAAACTCTTTATAATGTTCGCGAACATCGTTGTTTTATCTTATTCCTTTGTATATTATCATTTTTTTTGTTTCTTTTAAGAGATTCTAATGGACTAGTAAACACCCTGGTAAAAGTCTTTTTAAGCAATTGTTGAGGCATCTCCAATGGTTTACATTATTTTTTTTCTCAAAATGATTTTGTATTTTATTCTAGTACTGGTTTCTTTCATTTTTCCTATGAAAAAATATTTTAAGTATCTATTATATAAATGAGTGTTTCTCTTCTCCTCAAGAGTGCCACGTAGGCGCCAGGTCATAAAGTCTATGTCAACAATTTCGTTATTGGACCTCAAATGTTTGGACTTTTCCTTATTATTTTATGTTTTTTGTATTGTTTTTGGCCCATATATTTGGTTCCTCTCCCGACTAAAGCTCAGATTACGTTTGTTCTGATCGGCTTAAAGGAGCAAAAAGTCTGAGACATATATTGATTTGCAAAAGAAAAAAAAAACACTGTCACAATTTCTATTACCAAGTGATTTTTTTTATTTTCATAATATTGGCTGCCTCATTACTCACCAACACCACTCTTCTTTATACTGTCAAATTCAAACTCCAAAAATGGCACCTTCACATATCTCAGCACTTCCTCAACGAGCATGTCGTAATTCATCCACCTCCAAATCTGATGATCTAGAAAATTTCTGATGAACCACGGTGGGTAGTCAGCGGCGAAGGAAGCAAAGACGAAGAGATTGCAAAAATAAGTTTGAAAGGTAGTGAAGGGGGCATAACGGAGGTGACATTGACATATAGGCTTTAGCAAACTTTGAGATTTTAGAAAAAAATCAAAAAGAGAAGGCTAGAGAGCATCTAGGTTTTTTGTAGAGAAGAAAGCAAAACGGTGAGGGGATATTACAAAGATGTATGAGGCAAAGCGAAACTGATCCCGTCGTTTTTGTGCGGCTGAGAAAAGAGAAAATTTTCCAAAAGCAAAAGATAATGTTAGTCTAGGTTTTCCTTTCTTTTAAATAAAATATGTGTTTGTTGGGTTAATTTAATTACATTGAGTTTATTGTTTTATGGATTTTAGGTAGTTGGGCCAAGAGAACAAATTTGAATAGATCCAATGTATATTTTTTTTTACAACTTTAGAAAGATACATATTAGTAAATGAAACTATTACGTTTAAATAAACTGATATAAATATTGGACGATAGACTTGGACTAGAGATAAGAACATTTTTTGGAATCCTAATAAAAGTTGTTACAAAAAAAAAAAAAAATTTGCTTACTATTTATCCCCTTTTCCTTTGATAAAGCTTTTCCCAACTCTGATATTTTATTTTCTGTAAAATTTGTATTTGATATATATATATTTATGTGTGTGTATGACTATATATATATAGATGTGTATGTATGACTAGATTTTAATAATAGCACATTAAGAATTAATATGCATTAAATATACATGAAAAAATAAGAATATAAACTAAATCAAAATGAATAAACACATCAAACAAATGCAAAGATTCCTCCATAAATTGGCTGAAAATAATCCATAATATATATTCACCTAGATATTTTTGTTTTATCCACATTGAAAAATGTTAGAAATTACTTATATAAGAAAATAAAAATATAAATGTTAATTTTATTTTCAATAAATTAAGAAAAATCAGATACTCACAAAATTTGAATATATATATATATATATATATATATATATATATATATATATATATCTATGTGTGTGTATAACTAGATTTTTAATAGAGCACATTAGGAATTAATATGCATTAAATATACAGAAAAAATCAGAATACAAACTAAATCAAAGGGAATAAACAAATAAAAAAATACAAAGATTCCCACATAAATTATGTATGTTGTTGTTAAAAATGATATTGTATACACACTGAATTTATATCAAATACTGCGTATAAAAAATAATCACACACATAAAAATAACTATGTGCTTTTATGAAAAAAAAAAAAAAAATTATAATACTAAAAATAATATAATATTGCAAAATATATTTGACAGTAGATAAAAATAAAAATGTCCCTAATATAAACGAACATCAATTTTTGATAGAGATGGTGAAATGTTTAAGTGAACATGTCATTCATTTAACTATAGTCAAAGTAAACACTAAATAACAATCAAATATCTTGAAACGAATACACACAAGACGAAGATAAAATAAATTTGAATATCAGGCGTATAACCTAACAAAATAATATGTCATTAGCTTAACACCATCCTGGCTCAGAATCTTTCACCTCATAACACTAATTCAGTGACCGCTAAGATCTCACAGTTTTTTCTGATAAAACGGAATCAGAAAATATAAAATGAAAAAAGAGAAGGAAATGAGAAAATATTTACGTTCACGATACTTAGCACAAACGGTGAGTGTGTGTTTATCTATTTTCAAACAATACTAAAAAGTAAATGAGAGTAAATATCTTTTCATTTGATTGATAATTTATAATAATATGTTAGAGAAAAATTAGCACATAATACCATAGGCTCGAAAATAGAACTTACAAATATAAACAACTATATCACACTAACCCGTATAACATGTCTCAAACAAACATGAAGTAAACCCTAAATACAACCACCAAAAATTTCAAACAATTTAATAACTTCTAAATCATTATAATTATTATTTTATTTTTAATGAAACCAAAAGAATTGGCATTACTCTTTTTGTTAAAAAATAAAAATTTAGTGAAAATATATAACATAATTAAAAATAAATTTATAATTATAATAACTAAAACTATTAAAATTATAATAAATAATATTATTATAATATAATAAAATAATCATTTAATGAAAATATATAATATAATTAAAACAAACAAATTTATAATTATAAGAAATAAAACTCATGAGAAAGAGGATAAATCAATTTACGCTATTAATCTTTATACATTTTATTAGATTTATACCAACGAAAATAAAAATACTGAATCTCACATATTTTCGGTTCTTTTTTTACTACCAAATTTAAGATTAACCTAGAATAGAAAATAATATAAAAATAATTAACAATTAATACATAATAAAAATAGTTAAAACCAAGAACTAATAAGATATAAAAATAGAATAATGAAAATTTAATTATTCTATTTAATATAACTTGGGTTTAATGAAAAAATTTCTCCATTGTTTAATCAAAAGTTTTTTTCGCGTGTTTAATGAAAAGTATATTAAAGATCTAATAGTTAAGTAAAAGTTACAGAATACTTAAACATATTCAAAATAAATTAAGAAGTTTATAAGGTTGAAAAGACAAAAAAATCTATTATCATATTGTTTTCCTTTACGTTTCATCAAACCTAAGGAAAAAAGATTCATACATTAAATTTTCTTTCCATTTTAGGTAAATAAGATTAAAAAAAAATTGAACAGTAAACAATGAGTAATGAATAACTAAACAATATTTTGCAAAAAAAAAATGAAATAAAATTATAACACACAAAAAATTAAGAAACAAAAGCCGAGACGAGTCACAATATACAAATTCTAGGCAAAACACATATTGTTAATGACATACAAAATTTGGATATTAAAATTTTTGAAATTCGAAAAAAACAATAAATGATGAAAATAGTTATATAATTGTTTAACTATTTATATTTTATAATAGATTATAATATTTATATATCAAAATAACAAACAATAGATATAATCAAAATTTCAACAAAAAAGCCGGGCGTTGCTCGGGCTGGCCCTAGTATTATATTATAAACCCTTATTATTAATTCCAAAATGTTAATAATTTTATTAAACTTATAAATTTTACCCAAATTAAATTTGTTTAAACTAAATCTTCATTATATACATATAGTTTAGGTTCTAAAAAGATATAATAATTATATACTAGAAAAGGATTTAAGGACTAATATATAAATAAATAAAAGTTTAACAATCAAATGAGTTTGTGAAGGAACACTATTTATAAACTCATTTTTTCAGATGTAACATTGGAGAAGATTTTTCTGCATTTGTTTGATGTTTTTTTTCCTTAAAATGAGAGACCATTGCAGATAGTCCGACTCTTATTGGGCTTTTTCAGAACCCAACATTTTATTAATGGAACTAGTTTGTGAGTTTAGAAAAGGGAAAGAAAAGATGGAAGTAAATGTTAGTTTTGTAGGCAGATAGTATAATTTTTATTCACTGAAGCAAAACGGGTAATTATTGAAGTTCCTTCTCCTCCAATTGACGCAACTGGCCGAAGCTTTGCGAACGCTCAATCAAATCAGATCGACGAGAGATTGTAGCAGAAGAGCCTATCCGATCGTCGCAACTTCCCTCCTTAAACGAACCCAGCGAAGAATTCGGAGTTTGCAGGGGAGAAATGCTCAACGATGGAGAAGTGACTCTTACTAGGTGATTCCTACAAGTTCCGATTTCTCTTGTGTCTCGTTGTCAATTTATCGTATCTGCAGAGTGTATTTGAGAGTGTTACAAAGTAATATTGCTGAAATTGAACATAGGATTTTTGTGTGTCTTTTTCTAAAGCTGATTGATCTGTGTAGGCATGAGATCCTGAGTATGGTGAAGAAGCACTCAAAGTCGCTGGGAAAGACGTCTCTTGATGAGCAAGAGGCGTCAGATGTAGAGATGGACTCTAATTTCTGGCATGGTGTGTTTGATGTGTACTTCGTTCGATGCATCGAGTCTAGGAGGCGGCAAGACGATGATCTCTTATTCTTTGTCAGGAAACTGGTATGTAACCGAAAGCTTAGAACATTGTCTTATCCCCATGCTTGTTAATGTTTGATGTTTCTTTTTCTAGAGCTGTAAATCATATGGTTTGACTGAAAATGAGGATGCACCAGCTCCATACTTCGTGCGCAGGTGGGCTCCTAAGGTAACAATTAATGCATATCTCTGGTTAAGTCTATTCATTTGAGGTCTGGTTTTGTCAATATAGCATTTTAACTGTGAAGAAGAAATTGGTTAGCTTGTAACTCCCCAGGAGTTAAAGGAAATTTTTGATTTACTTCTGGGGCATCAACTTTTTTCTTCTTCCTTTTTTTTTTTGTGTGAGGGAGCTATGTTTAAGATTACTACTCATCATGAGCCTATATGCCAAAGCTTGATCTATCATATCTTATTTATTTGAGAATTAGACCCCTTGATTCTTCAAAGCATCCATATACTTTGCTGCATTGCACCTTGTATTTAATGGCCCCTTAATAAATCAGTTGGATGAGCTGCTTGGTGAAAGTCTGGCTGAAGTTGATTGGAGGAAATCATTTTATTTGAACATGGTTGCTCACACGTCTTTCACTGTTACGGTTGCGATTTGCAGGTAACCGTCTCACTTTCAAATCTTGATTACCCGCATCATGTCCTATTTTCATTCCAGTCTCATTTATATTAACAATTCTTGTCCTGTCATGTACTGATATTGTAGTATTACTTTCCTCTCTTTTTTCGTTCCAAACTCATGTGATTTCATCAAGCATTACCTAGTCTTTTCCTAAGTTGGAATCAAAGATGCCCACTTCTTCTTTTCAGTTATTAGGCCAAAAGTCATTTTATAACCTGTTTCTTCGGTGACTTATGTATTCTATTTATCATATGGCTTCTAGTCTTTCCATTTTACTTCATTCTGGTAACATTAAGCTTATGTATTTAGTAATGAAGCCCTTAAGAAGTACCAAGGAAGTAAAGACACAACACTCTCTCCTATATACAAGGTTAGAGATCCAAGTAGCGTTGGATGAAATTCTCTTGACTCTTCAGCTCTTCTTTAAATATGTCGCATGGAAAATCAACTGAAGCCAAAGAGTAGTTACATACGCTACTGTTCAAAATGTGTCTCTCCAGCTTCCGTTATCATGAGTATATTAAAGCAAACTGAATATGAATCCACCTTTGTTTTCCTTTTCTAAAAGAGAGGACACTATACAAGCCTAAATTGTATCTTTTTATGAGCCTAGAGTTGGTTTCGTTTTATGTAAGCCAATAGTGGTCATAAACTCTGATATTACATTCATATCATGCAGGTTGTAAAAACTGTGTATGCATCACCTAGTCGGGTTAATTTTCATCTGGACTCAAAGAAGGCAAGTATAATCGCTTTTCTCATAGCAATGTTTATCCTTTTTGGAATTCGTGTTTGATGTTTCTTGTGTACCTAGGAAGTGGAGACAACACCTGCTTACCCAGAAATTTGTTTTGCCGTAGATGACTTCGACTCAACCTTTGATGCCGTGGTAACACATTTCTTTTCCCTTTCTTTGTATTTTCCTTCCAAGTACTAATGTCCTTCTGTTCGAAAAAGATTCTAGACACGAATGAATTCTATGGAAGTGTGACATTCTGTTCGTAATAAAATGGGCTCGAGAGATACATGCATTCTTAATTTCCATCTTAATTGGATAGCAAAATCCTAGTCGGCTTTTGGAGCAGAATCCAAATATTGAACTACCACGTGCATTGCTTTTAGCCTGCTCTTCGGTTATATTCTTCAGAAGATTAGCCAGCCTTCTTCTTTAGTCTTTAGGGCATATAAGAGTTTGGCCATATAGCTCTTGTAAATAATTTAAGTCGTATGTTAATTGTCCATATGTTTCTCCGACCTTGTTCATTGGATTTCTCATTGATGTTTACAGGTTCTGACAGAAAAAGATCATTGCTATTGTGTACTTCTTAATTCTCATGATGGGGCAGCCTTTCCAAGTGCAGATGTAAAAACTGATTCCAGTGTATCTAATACAAATACAGACCCGAGAAGGGTGAAAGATCCTAAGGTCTAGTAGTTTTCTATCTAATTTTGCTATTCTTAGTGGTGGCTGCCTGCCAATTATTCCTTTGCTACCTTTTATGAGTTGTGAAGAGGCTCATATATGCTTAATAGATTTAAGCCATATGGGTTGTAAAACTTATGGACACATTAAATAGTAGTGACATGCAAATGAGAAAAGAAGAACATAAACATGCTTGGTGCTCTTGGTTTCAGGTTACTCTGTTTTCTGGGTTTGTCAGCTATCAAATGGTTCGAGAAGCCTACGAAGGTTGCTTTACAGTTACTTTTCATGTTTTATCCATCTATAGAATCTAATTAAATCGTCTAGGAAATCTTGTTGTCATGTACTGATGCTATGTTCGCTAGTTATTTGCGTAGGTCCTTTCAGTGCTTAGTACTATTATTCTTGATGTCGGTCTTTTATATTAAGAGTGCTTGATAATTTGAAGCTTGTTCTCGAACTTGCCTCTATAATAGCACACAGAATACATTAGTGGTTATTGATGTCATGGAATCTGGTAAGACTATCCAGTCAGGAGCATGCAGTTTTCATCTTCATGCTTTGCTAATTTGGTGGAATCATTACTGACTTAAAAGCGAGCTTGCAAATTTGGAAACGATACGATTCGCTTATAGGTCAAGGTCGTGTGGTATGTAAGGGTACCCAGCCTCATGATGGCTGGTATACATAGTAAACTTCTTTAGACATGAAATTTTGAGATACTAAGAGCTAAAAGACCCAAAGAAAGAAATTTCTTCTTGTTTTGACTAAAATAGGCCGATATCGCTTTTGTGGATCTGGACCAATTGATTTTTCACACTCTCTCCTTAATTTATCTGTAATCTTTTTTCTTTTATTACAGGGGGGAGGAACCGGTTCGGAAGTCTCCTATCACTGGGCCATCACTCAGGAAAAGCAGACAGACTTTATATGAAAGGCCCTGGAGGACGTGGAGAAGTTGAAGTAGCTGTCTCTGGCGTTATAGGTAATGTTCCTTTCTTATTCTTGATTGGCTGGACAAAATCTAGCTCTTTTGTATAGGAATTTAAAGAGGATAGAGATAATAACACAAACATTTTATGAATTACAATCGCCTAAAAGTAAAAGTAGCAGCATATTTAAGACGTAGTGTGCTTTAAAGGGATGATTGTATAGAAATTGCTTTTCTCAGATCAGAGCCAAGTAGTTTTAGGTCCTGTTTCACCAATGTCTTCGAAGAAGAGCATCGATCTCGGCTCCATTTTCCGTAAAGCCGCATCTGTTGCATCTGTGGCAGCTAAACATGCAATAGCAGCTGCGACGGCTTCATATGATGAAGACGAGATGTTCCCTCTTAAATGCTGTTTAATGTCCATCTCGTTGCCATGGGACACTATTGCTCATGATCTCTTATTCAAGGTAAACAAGTAATTTCTCTTCATCTGTCACGGATCATTAATAATTTGAACATGAATCTTTAGATTAGATTTATCTGTTGCGCTGACTAATTTCTTTTAACGTTTTGATTCAGGGTTCTCCACCAGTAAACATGGAGTAGAACATTGTACCTCAAATAGTAAAAGAAAATGCTGGAAACAGGAGTTGTGTGTTTTGTCAAGATGATGTTCTTTGATTGAATTGTAGTACTGTGTTGCGAGACTTCGGTTTACTACTACATAACAGTTCTACCTCCAGCAATAAATGGAAGTAAAGCAACTTTGGAATTCTCAAGCCTATAAGATTCATATACTTTTCATATTCTAGGTCTAAAACTCACTTTACTCGGAAGAGCTTCTCCAAATATCTCAATGGTTCTTACAGTAACAAAACTAAATAAGAAAGGAAAAGAAAAACAAATTACAAGATTGTTTCATTAAGAGATAGAGGTTAATACATTTTTAAATAATATTTAGTTGTTGACTTGTTTAATCTTTATAAATAAATTTTGATTATAGAATAAAATATGACAATCTTTTTAAAAATATTATATTGTAGAGATGTTTGAGAGGATATCTTACCAATAGCAATACATTTAGTAAGTTTATGGCATGTATGAAACGTGATAGACGGTTCTGGTTCAAAAAAATCTTCGAAAAGTTGTAGATATATTAATATAGGATAAATTATTTCCTAAAGAAACCATTAATATGGTTAATGTATAATCATATCACTACAAAAAAATACGCCTTTAACAAGGAAGAATTACGAGAAAAATGTTTCCTTGTAATTTTACGAGCACTTAACTACTAGATTACAAGGAAATTTAAATTCGTCGTATAAAACTAGTAATGTTACAATGAAAGCTATTCGTCGTAACTGACAAATTATTTTACGACGAGTGTACTAGGAAAAGGAAGATTCGTCGTAAAGAAGAAGTAAAACTACAACCACATTACGAGGAAAGTTTAACCGTTTATAGTAAACAAAAATGTGTTCTTAAGTTATTACTTTCGTTGTAACATGGTTGTAAAACATGTACAAAGGACTTGAAAAATCCTAGTAAATTGTTTCTTTCTAAATTTGTTGTTAAATCTTTACCAACCAAGCTCAAAATTTCCTATATATGTCATTCCTAATCAATCCTAACAACACCACAAACAAAAACAAAAAAAAATGAAAGAAAAAGAATCCGATGACTTATGTATCGATTTACAGGAAACTAAAAGGCGTGGACAGTCAGTAGAACAGTTCTAATCAACTCCTCATAGCTTTTCCTCGAGAAGTCGATGAATAGATGAGGAGTTGATAAGACCGTTCTGATGACCGTGAACTCTTTTTAGTTTTGTGAAAGTAATCCAGAAAAAAATTTATCCAAATTTTTTTTTCATTTTTGTTGTAAAGTCGTCGTAAAGTTACAAGTGCTTTACAACGAAAATTGGTAGGTGAACAAAATTTTAATGTGTAACTTAAATCGTTGTAAACACGATGTAACCTATATGTTAGAGACATGTAATATCATAGTAAATATATTCCTTGTAAATACGTTGTAAACTTTCACCTACCAATATTCGTGGATTTTCTATATATATGAGCATTTTTCATTTCATACCACCACACAAAAAAAGAACAACTAAAAAAAATGTCTGATGGAAAAAATATTTTCGAATTCTAGAGTTGGATGTATACGCATAAAGATTCTAACGGTCGAGTGACGAATGCATTTCTTAGTGGGCTAGAGACGTTCATGAACCTGGCAGCCTGTACACCGCTCACGCTGGAAAGTGGTAAGATATTCTGTCCTTGTCAGAAATGCAAGAATTAAAAATTTGCCCGTATTGAAACTGTGTGGAAACATTTAGTATACAGAGGTTTTACACCATAATATTATATATGGTTTCAACATGGAGAGGGTTATGGAGGAAATGGAGCTAGTAGTAGTAATAGTAATTTTCAGAATGTGAGTAATAATGGCGAACCAAATCATTTGCATAGCGAATATAATCATGGTACTGAACAAATGGTAGATCATGATAGGGTTCACAACATGATTACTGATGCATTTTTAGAAACTACTACAACAATAGCACATGAAACTGGAAATGTTGAAGAACCTAATTTGGATGCAAAAAGGTTTTATGAAATGCTAGATGCTGCAAATCAACCAATCTACACTGGTTGTAGAGAAGGTCACTCTAAATTGTCTCTAGCAGCTAGGATGATGAATATTAAAACAGATAATAATTTACCTGAGAACTGCATGAATGCATGGGCCGAGTTGTTTAAAGATTATTTTCCAGAAGACAACGTGTAAGCTGAATCTTATTCTGAGATTCAGAAATTGGTTTATAGTCTTGGGTTTCCATCGGAGATGATAGATGTTTGCATCAACAACTGCATGATCTATTGGAGAGATGAAGAGAAGCTAGAAGAGTGTCGATATTGCAAGAAGCCACGATTCAAACCACAAGAACGTGGGAGGAATAGGATACCGTACCAAAGGATGTGGTACTTACGTATTACAGGTAGGCTGAAAAGATTATATCAATCTGAGAGGACTGCCGCAGCGATGAGGTGGCATGCTGAACATGTCCAGCGAGATGGCGAGATTGCTCATCCATCAGATGCAAGAGCTTGGAAACATTTCAACAAGGTACACCCAGATTTCGCAAGAAATATTAGAAATATCTATCTTGGATTATGCACAAACATTCTTACGCCGTACAACTTATCTCCAGAGATGTGCATGAAACAAGAATTTCTATTCTTGACCATATTAATTCGTGGTCCAAAGTATCCAAAGCGGTCGCTAGATGTTTTTCTTCAACTATTGATACAAGAGTTGAAGGACTTGTGGTCAAAAGGGGTGAGGACGTATGATTGTTCCATGAAAAATAATTTTACGATGTGAGCAGTCCTGCTTTAAACGATAAGTTATTTTCCTGCTTATGGTATGCTTTCTGGATGGACTACACATGGAAGATTATCTTGTCCATATTGTCTTGGATCAACAGATGCTTTTCAATTGAAGAATGGTAGGAAGAGTTGTTGGTTTGATTTTCATCGTAGATTTATTCCCCTTACCCATTCATACCGAAGAAATAAGATATTATTTAGGTACAAAAAAGTTGTAAGGGATAATCCTCCTCCATATCTCACTGGAGAACAGATCCTAGCGCAAATTGATTACTACGGAGCTCAGGAAACTGTTCCATGTGGAGGAAACTGGCATAATCCTGGAAATATGCCTGATGGATATGGGGTAAGTCATAATTGGCATAACAAGAGTATATTTTGGCAGCTGTCTTATTAGAAGGGTCTTCTTTTACGCCACAACCTCGATGTTATGCATATAGAGAAGAACTTTTTTAACAACATCATGAATACAATACTGAACGTCTCATGAAAGACAAAAGATAGCAAAAAGTCAAGGATGGACTTGCCTGATATTTGCTCAAGAAGTGAGTTACATATCAAAAGCAGTGGAAACATTCTAGTTCCTATCTTCCGATTGTCATCATAAGCGAAGATGACTTTGTTTAACTAGGTTCAATCAGAAGTTAAGTTCCCTGATAGATATGTTTCTAATCTCTCAAGATGTGTTGAACAATGTCAAAATTTCTCAGGAATGAAGAGTCATGACTGTCATGTGTTTATGCAACGACTACTTTCATTCGCTTTTGCTGAGTTGCTTCCAGCAAAGGTACATGAAGCACTTGCAGGTAAATATTGTTGTTTAGTTAATATTATATATACATATGTTTTGAAATGGTATTCACTGGATTAATTTTGCAATATGCAGCCATTGGAGCATTCTTCAGAGACCTAAGCACAAGTACATTCAAGGAAGAAGTTATCGAACAACTTCATGAGAACATTCCAATCATATTGTGCAACTTAGAGAAAATTTTGCCTCTAGCATTTTTTGACGTCATGGAATATCTTGTTGTTCACCTCACATATGAGACATTGCTTTGTGGTCATGTTCACCATGGATGGATGTATCCGTATGAGCGCGCCATGAAACATTTGAAGGGGAAAGCAAAAAATGTTGCAAAGGTGGAAGGTTCAATAATTCCTGGGAGTTTGACAGCGGAAACATCTCACTTCACATCATACTACTTTACATCAACAGTACGTAAAAGAAAAAGAGTTCCTAGAAGATATGATGATGGTAGAATCGTCCCCACATATCCAATTACCAATATTCCTAATATTTTTTGTCAAATTAGACGGTTTGGTGGTAGATTGCGAGAAATATGGTGGTCTAGTGACGAGGATAAGCATAGTGCTCACACTTATATTTTGCTCAACTCCGATTAGACCACCTTTTACGTATATTGAGTTGTTTGGTACTGATGGTATCGGGACATCGTCTTCCGGCCCGTCATCTTCCGAGCGTGTGCTGGATTCTCAGGCGTATTATCCCGCCAATGATTTACCATATCATGAGATTCCTCCACCTTTGGCCCTGCTCCACATCCCGGTCCTGCTCCCGCTCCCGATCCCGCTCCCGCACCCGCAGGTGGTGATCAAATTCATCCAGATTTGCGGGTACCTCCGGGTGCACCATATGATGCCTATACTGGGGAGGATCTTCTTGCCCAACCGGGGCGAAAAGGTTTAGATATTCTGGACCCCGATCGTCTGCGGGGTACTTATTTGTAAGTTTTTTTTTGAATTATTATTATTTTTTCTAACAAAGATTATATTATTTTCAGGTTTGGAGCAAACAACCGCGTTGCCGGGGTCGAGAACAGCAAAAGAAAAGAAAGGGGTAACATTCCCTGAGTAAAATAATCCGAGACCACATCACTCATGTTCCTTGGCCTGGTCGTCACATGCCCCAGTTACCTGCTGAGGAGCATCGTTCGACGGGACTTGCTAAGGAACATCGTTCGACGGGACGTGCTGGTTCGTGCCTTCTTCTCCAGTCTGCTCTTCAGGGATCTCCAATCCCTCCGGGTTGGGCCTTGCCTTGTCACTATCCACGCTGACCTCCTTCTCCCCAGAATCTCCCGAGTCCGAGTAGTCAACTTCCTCCGAAGATCCTGCAGTGCTTGTCTCTCCAACCGACTTGCCTCCGGCCGAAACAGCTTTATCTTTGCCATCCTCGTTTGCTTTGCCTCTGACAGCCTCGTTAGCTCCGATCAGCAGATTGCCAACGCTTCCACCAGACTGACCTCCGACGGAACGACCCGGAATATGAAGCGAAGCTGCCGCCTCCGGACCAATCAAATTCAAGTTGGAGCCGTGCTGATTCGAGGGGAGTTCCTTCTCTAGCTCCGATACCAGTGCATAGAGCAAGTTCTCGTCAACAAATGTCGACTCCAAAGCAAGAGGAGACATGCTTAGATCCTGCTCCATCAGAGGACCGATATCTAGCCGAGTAGCT